AAGCAATGAAGTCCTCCCAAACACTGCACTCAACAGAGCCAATTTGACACCACTGCACTCACCCATGCTCTAACCTTTTATAAGCTCCCGCCATCCTGCGACGGTCGCCCACAATCCCGACCTCCTTCCACCTAGTACACCATCCCTTCACTACAAGGTCTGTCATTGTCCTCCAGCCACAGTGGCATAAAGTTGACCAAATTACAGCAAAGGCGACACATGAGCTGCTCACAACGTCTGTTTCAGTCCCTGTCAAGGCTGCATCTCTGCAATAAACAAGGCTCAAAGTGTGATTCGCGTCGGCTGTCCAGCACATCACTTTCTTGCAGCTGGCTCCCTTCGGTCAGCTGTTCTTATCACCCTGCCTGGTGGCACATAGGACTCCACCTCGCCCATGCGAGACGGGGGCCAGATGATGTGGGACACGCGGCCCTCCAGCAGCGCCAGTGGCACCTGTGCATGAGAACATGCTCATTATTCGTGTCCTCAAAATCTGCGTTTGGAGCTGCAAATGATACACATGTCTTCAGCCCTGGATGAGATACAACCCACCAGGAAATGGAGCTACATCCATAACAATGTTGCATAAGACGCATGAGATGTTCCACACTTCTTTCAGCTATTTGCCTCTGGATATGGATAGTAAATGGTGTGGTGGTGCAAATCCTTTTGCTTGCAGATACTGAAACGTGCCAAAACACAACCTTTGTTCCTGCAAGCCAATATTGAGCGTGAGCCTGTCCCCCCAAAATCCAAAGTACAGTTGCACAAATGCAGACTCCAACACAAGTCTGTTGCAATCTAGTGAGAGTCCTTCCCACCCTTTTGTCACAACATAACAGATGCTGTGCAAGTGCGCAGAACAGCGAAAACCACAAATGTGCATGAATCCAAACTAGGCCATTTGCTTTTTGTCTGCCAGAGAACCCTTCATCAACAGCTGGCTCATGGAGCTTCTCAAACCACAACAACAGCAGTGTCATTCCCTTTCTTCTTTTCTTCTTGCTGCAAGGGTTGGGCACAATGTTCCCATTGGACTCACTGCTATTGTGTGCTTTGTGCCTAAAATGTTGCCCCATTGTTTCCCCAGGCGCCCCCTGCTACAGCATGTATTGCTGAAGGTGAAGCAGTATGGATCATGCCGGCTGACGTGTCATCAGCATTCCAAGCAACAGCAGCATCCCAGAATGCAGTGAGAATGGCATGCATCTGCTTTGACTACACTTGCCTTGCAGGTCACAACAGTGCGCTGGCAGCTAAAGGCAAGTCCTGCACATGCAGTGAGCAAGGGATGGAAGAATGAGGCACCAGGCAGCAGGTGTGTTCCTGTATGCAACATCCTTGTTGGGATGAGAGAGCAAGAGAGCTGCAACATACTCACAGCGCAGTCAGCATAGGAATGCACGCCCTTCACGCTGCTCCCATCAAGCCAGCAGTGTCCCTGTGCATGGAAGACAGGTTGAGGGCAATGGTAGTCTATAGATCATCATGTCAACGTCACCATGGAAACTTCTGCAACAACAACCCCAATGAAACTTCCCAACTGGATATCATTTGCTGAACAGTGGGAATCCAGAAGAGGTCTGGTGCAATGTGCACCAAGGCCCTGTACTCCAGTCCCCAGGAAATGGAATAGTGTTCTCAGAATTGAGACTGGGGCAAATGCACAGGAGATTGCATAGCTGGTTCCCACCTGTGGAACTTTCCGTATGTGGCCATGATCTGAAACCCAATCCCCCTCGATTCCAGCCAACCGCCTCACCCAATGGCGGGTGGGATCTTCCAGTGACCTGGGGAAAAATGAATCCAGTCAACAAGTTATCACCTATTCTTCCTTGGATCTTGGCGTTCACGGCCTTTGCATTTTGGACGATCCGCATATGGCCCCAAGCTCGGCACCGCCTTGGGGCGCAGTCTGTGAGTTCTGACTTGTCACAGATGCAATCAAAGATTGGCAGCCTCCATCGCCGTCCAGATCTTGAACACAACAGCCCCACTGGCAATGATCGCCCGACACCCAGCGCTCAGATCAACGCCCGCCCAGGCCCGTAGACCCGTCGCCGCCCCCGCCCCCCCCCCCCCGTCCCGCGGCCACCCAACGCAGGGATCAAGCAAATTCGCAACCCCATCCCCGCTGCGATCTCCCTCGTCCCCCACACGGCTCCCCTTTTTCCGCCGATCTGCGCCCCCGCCTCCCTGGGCCCACCATGATCCCCTCAAGCGCCCTTTTCTCCACTCCCTCCCAGAAAACAAAAACAAACCTTCCCGCCGCCAAAAGATAAGAAAGAAAACCTTCCGTGCCACGCGCGAGCATCCCACCTGAGGTACACCACGTCTCCCCGTCTGAACCGCCCCAGCACCCGGACGCCGTACTTCTGCACAAGCACCCATTCCGATTCGGCCACCACGTCCGGCCGCGAGACCGGCCGTAGGCACAGGCCGCTGACGGGCGCGACGTCCAGCACCCAGTTCTTCAGAGACAGCGCCAGTGGGCCCCACAGCAGCAGCCGGCGGAGGAGGCCCTGCATGCAACTCGGCCAGCCGGGGCGGCGTCTGGGTCTCCGCGCATCCCCCGCAGCCGATTGGGATCCGCTTCGCGAACAAGGGAAGTGGTGGCGGGGGCGAGGGGACTGGGTAGTTGGGTGGTTCTTGTGGGCGTGGGCGACAGCGGCGCGGCGATCTGTGGGCGGATGGCGACGATTGGGCAGGAGGGAGGGCGGGCCTGGAGTGGCGAGGGGTGTTTGGCCTACGGACCACTGATATGCATAGACGGAGAGCCAATACACGCGGGCCCTGAGCCCTGGGAGAATATATTAGTCCCTCTGCCCTTCCCGTAAAGATCCCTTCTTCCGCTGACAAGGCCAACGCCGGTCAGTGGGTCATTGGTCTAGGGTTTAGGGCGCCCGAAACGAGAAGGGGTCCTCACGGAAAAGGCAGCCCGACTAATTGCATGCCGAACCCTGGTGGCCGAATGCCCCATTGCGACCTGATGGCGCTGCCCAGCCATTTTGTTTAATGGCTGAGTCAGCTGGCAGCAATAAAAAAAGGTTGCGTGACTAAACAACATTGTTTGTACTACTTTTACTACTAATACAATATTAGTGCTACTGGACAGGAATCAAACACAACCTACTTAGGCTGCGTTTCACAGCCAATAATAACAAAAACTTTCAAGTATTAACGATCTTCAAACTACTATGAACACAAGCAACGATTCACAAAGGTATTTGGATGATCAAAACAGGCAATTGTTCATCCTCAACCGTATTCATGTCTAGTTCTGTCCTCAGCAGGCCATTCACAACAGAAATAACACAAAAAACACAGTACTGAGCAAGATTCACAGATTCACAAAACAGATGGCTACAGATCCCACCCAGACCTGCTTACCATTTCGGTTACAAACAAAAAGACACAGACAACACCGCCAAGGTGGTACACACAACCGTCAACACTCATGCAGGTCGCAAACATACACTCACAAACAAAGCAAGTCACTTCACAGCTAGGGGGGCTGTCACGCACCCACCCCCACGTCCCTTGTGGTACGGCGCTCCTCGCGTCCTGTACATTCCCACGACAGGCAGGGCCAATCGCTGTCCGGCGCTCAGTCACAATTTGCAGGCTTTACACCTCATACTGGCCACACAATAATCGTGTGGGGTGGTGCTGCGAACTATGCATGAACGGATGCAATCATTGTGTCTATTCACGCACAGTTCGCAGCACCACCCCACGGCAATAGGAAAAGGGGCGGCGCCACCACCACCACGACCCCCACTTTAAAGCTTTGATTGACCCAATCATTCTCTCCATCAAGTGCCTATCAAAGGCCCCACGTGGGGCCCTCCAAACTCCTCCCTGCCACCAGTCCAGTACGTCCAAAAACAATTCAATACTTTATTTATGTTTCCGCCATTCCCCCAACGTGACAATCCCGGTGCCTCCGCCCTTCCACGCCCAAGGACTTTGCGCTCGCTCCCGCCGCCTCCGCCGCGGTGCCGCCTGCTCGCTGGCCGTCGCACCGGCTCAAAGACCACCAGGCTCCTCCTTCACAGAGGGCCACTCCACCTCTGACCATTCCGGACCGATCGCACCGGGCGCGGCGGCCTCTCCGACCCCGCCGGCCTCTCCGACCCTGCCGGCCTCCTCGTCTTCGCCCTATGGCCCGTCATCGCCAGCCGCGTCGCGGCCAACGTCTACCATCAGCTCGTCCTCAACCTCCAAAGTCGGCGCGCCGCGCTTCGCCACACTCGTGCAAAGAACTGCCCGGCGCGGCGCCATCATTGGTAGAAAACGGCATGTGTGCGATGCCAACTGCGATGCCATTTGGACACAAAGTGATGCCATCACAGTGATTGCAATGGCATAAAAGGTGGCTGTGATGGCATCAATTTGTGTCAAAATGGCATCGCAAGCATGCTGTTTTCTACTAGTGCATCCTCGCTGAAGCCGGCGCCATCTCGCGCCGGCGCCCCACAATGCGCCGCCCCGGCTCGCCTCTTTGGCGTCAGCATGGCGTGCCAGATGTCGTCCTCCATGGGCGGCCAAGGTGCCCCGCCGCTGCGCCTCGCAACCGCGGCCATCCAGGCCACGAAATGCCGTTCGAGCGGCCTCCATGGCCGCCTCTAAACTCGCCGGGCCTCCACCGCTCCCGCCACGTGGAAGGCATAGCGCGGCGTTCACCGCCGCTCGCGCCTCGTGCGCGGCCCTCTTCGCCAACCGCCGCGCCCTTCGCCGGGCTTGCGTGCCTCTCTCAGGCGCCGGAGGGAGCGCCTCACACACCCGGGGGGCTGCGCCTCGCAGCAGTGCGACTGACGTCCAGTCACTCCCCTGCCGGTCCGCCATACAGCACGCCGGGACGCCAAACACACTAGGTACTTACCCCCGAAAAAAATACAATAATTCTAGACTACAACACTTTTCCAACGTTGTACCTAAGCACACCCTTTGACGAGGTGAGCCAGCTCCTTCTTCAAGAGCTGTTTGGTGGTGTACAAATCCCTTTTTCAGGGACCAAACATACACCATTTTCAAGCCAATCTAATACATGCTTTTTCAGCATGGTTTGCCTCAAAACCAACCTCAAAGTCTGACTTTGAGGTCTGAACTGACTCAGTTCAGGGAATGCAGTTTCTTCTCCAGAAGCTCCCACATCATCTCAGACCCTCACAACTCCTTTTTCAGGAGCTGTTGGATGACTGAGCACGTCCCTTTTTCAGGGATTCAGTCGTGCACCTATTGCAATCAAGTGACAAACATGCTTTTTCAGCATTTTTCCACAAACATGTCATGGACTCCAGATTCTTATTCAGAAACTGATCTTGTAGCTCTCCGCATTCTCATAGCTCCTTTTTCGGGAGCAGCACCACTTTTTCAGTGGTAAACATCAACCAATTCTGCCCATTTTCAAAGTCACTACCACTTTTCCAATGGCAGCCGGAGACAGCCACCTTTTCAGTGGTGTACAGAAACCAATCTTGTCGAATTTCAATGGTTGTACCACTTTTTCAGTGGCAGCCACATAAAACCACTTTTTCAGTGGTATACACCAGCCAATGCTGCACCGCTTGCAACAATGGCAACACCACTTTCACAGTGGCAAGCAAATTCCAGCCACTTTTTCAGTGGCAAATACAACTCGCATCAGGTCATCCGCGCCAAAAGGATGAACGAGCCGGAAAGCAGCTTCAGCTCAATGCCATGCCGAGGAAAGTGACATCCCAGCAAGTTCTCTAAGGCGCATTCCTGTAAACTGAGCGGCTCGGGGCACAGCCCCCAAAACGCACATTTGAATGACCCCACAGCTGGAAAGAACCTTCAGCCAACGGAGTACTACCCCATGTGCGTAGACGCCGTGACCTTAGTTGTTGGAGCATCAAATTTAAGGAAGCTTGATTGATTGATTGACCCCATGTGCGTCCAAACCAATCATGGACATTCCAACTAGTCAAAAACTCCTTGTTCAGGGGTTTTTCCTTTTCCTTGTCACTCGTTCAGTGACTTTCCCACATTTTCGCTGCCCTTGTCACTTATTCAGCAACAGTCAGAGCTCCATAGTACACTCAGCATTTAGGACCATCACAGAGTAGGCTGGCTGGGCAATACACCAAGTTGGTGTTGAACACAGCTCCATGCCCAGGCAAGACACATCCCAGCATGTTTCTTTGGGCCCAAACTACTGAACAATACGGCCCAGAACACAGTTCTGTGACCGCTAAGTCAGACTCTACCTATAGCTGGAAAGAGACATCAGCATATGGGATCGAATCTGGACCGAAGTGATGTGATGAAACGGCCAGCAGCACAGCCAGCACATACGTTTTCTCCACAGCAATATTTCAGCTGCGGGTGACTGATGAATAAATGAACACGTGCAGCCTTAGTATGGGATAGTCCACCCTGGAAAGATCCATCATTTGTGGGCCCAAACTTTCAGCCATGCGTGGTTCCTTTTTAGCCTTTTTCAGGCCAGCAACCTCTTAGCCAAGAGTGAGTGGCTTTGAGGCTAGATACACGCCCAAACTGGGTAGTATCCTCATTCAGGACACATAGCCCCACCAGGTATTGAGAGCCGCGGTCAATAATGGTGAGGCAGCTTTTACTGAAATACTCTTGCTGCATAGGGTGTTGCTCAGTCGTCACCAACCTCCCCTTGAGGCAAAACTCCTCTCAACTTCCATGACCAGCTTGCTACATTACCAAAACGCAAGCATTTGACCAATTTTGTTTCTTGTTTTTGATTTTTTCCTTTTCTAACTGGCGGTGGCATACTCGGGCCATCCCACACAGTCAGCATGCGTGTCAGACGTGGGTCCCTCGCCAGCTGAATCATAAGTGACTCACCCAGTGAAACGGTGGTCATTATGCAGCTGCGAGAACAGACCCGTCTCTGCATCCGTGGTCTGTGTCACAGGAGGCTGATGGCCAAGGCGGCCGCCTTGCCTTGTTCTGCAAAAATGAATGAGGCAGAAGAGAACCAGATGATCATCGTCATCATCATCATCATCACCATTCACATAACAAGGCAAGGAGGTAGCCGTCAGCTTCCAATTTGCCCGAACAAAGCGGCGTCCATGATCAGTTCAGCGAAATCTAATGCACAACGCAAAGGAAGCCCGGGAATCCACCAATGCCTATTGCCAAGGGGAATTCACATCAGTGGTCAGCATCAGCGTGGAACAGTGTGGAGATGGCGGACGATCGGCCGGCTACTGCCGCCTCACTGGAGGGGTGGACGGGGTCCCAGAGGGGCCGTGCTCCGGCTGGCGTCAGCCGCGGGCGGGCCGGCAGCTGTGCGCATCGCGAAACAGAGGGACCCACTTCCTGCGCGCGAGTCTGGTCTCTCATTGGGAGAGCGGATCAGAAATGTGGTGGCCGGGCCCCGTCCCCGTGGAAAGCGTCCCAATCAGGACATTTTAGGGATTGCTTGAGGAGGGAGTCCGAGGCGGGTTTGGTTGAAAGAAGCAGGCCTTTATTTACGTTTATGTAATGTTTACGTTTTTACACGCAAAAACGTAAAGTTGCC